TATTGTTGGTGGTCTTGTCGTTTTTTTGTTGCTGGTGATGATGATGATCAAGGGGACAACTAGGACGACACTGATGATGACGGGGATGCTGCTGATGACGACGATGATGATGCTGCTGCTGATGATGATGGTGGTGGTCCTGGTGATGATGATGATGATGATGATGATCATGATGGTGGTGGTATGTTGGTACTCATGCTGATGATTATGATGATGATGACGATGATGGCGACGACGACGGTGATGATGCTGTTGATGATGATGATCCTGAGTATGATGCTGATAATGACGATGATGATGATGATGATAATGATGCTGATGATGATCATGCTGATGGTACTGATGGTGATAAGGATGAGGAAGAGGATGATGATGAAGATGCTGACGATGAGGATGAGGAGATGGATGATGATGACGATGCTGATGATGATGATGCGGATAATAATGATGATGATCGTTATGATAATGATGATGCTGATGATGATGATGATGATGATGATGATGATGATGATGATGATGATGATGATGATGATGCGGATGATGATGATGGTGGTGGTGACTATGATGGTCATGCCGATGTCGTTACTGCTGGTGTTGTTGTTGTGGGTGGTAATGATGATGCTGCTGATGAGGACGATACGGATGACGATAATGATGCTGCTACTGCTGCAGATGACGATGATGATGCTGATGCGACTGCTGATGATGATGATGATGGTGGCGGTGGTGGTGGTGATCTTGATGCTGTTGGTCGTGGTGGCGCTGATGATGATGACGGTGCTGGTGCTGAGGATGATGACGCAGACGATGATGCTGATGGTGACGACGATGGTGATGAGGATGACGATGCTGAGGATGATGATGTTGATGATGATGATGATTACGATTATGATGATGATGACGATGATGATGACGATGATGATGATGATGATGATGATGATGATGATGATCATGACGATTCTGATGCTAATGCTGATGATGTCGCTGATGCTGGTAATGAGAACGATGAGGACGATACTGATGATCATGATGCTGATGATGCTGCTGATTATGATGATGATGATGATAGGAATGATTATGATGATGACGATCATGGTAAGATGACGATGCTGATGATGATAATGATGGTGATGATGGTGGTGGTGAAGATGATGATGACGATGATGATACTGCTGCTGATGCAAGTGATGATGATGATGATGATGATGATCATCGCGATGATGATGATTATGATGATGATGATGATGATGATGATGATGATGATGATGATGATCATGACGATGATGATGATGATATGATGATGATGCTGATGATGATGATGATAATGATGACGTTGCTGATGATGCTGGTGATGATGTTGATGCTGCTGATGATGATGATGATGATGGTGATGTCGAGGCTGCTGAGCACCAGGATGATGGTGATGAGGATGAGGATGATGGGGATTGTGCGGATGATGATGAGGATGAGGATGAGGATGATGATGCTGACGATCATGATAACGATGATGATGACTGTGGTGATGATGATTGTGTTGATCATGAGGAGGATCATGTGGACGATACTTATGCTGATGCGGAGGATGATTGCGATGATGATGATGATGATGATGATGATGATGTGATGATGATGATGAGGATGATGATGATGCTTCTGCTGCTGCTGCTGCCGATGCTGCTAATCATGATGATGACGATGATGATGATGCTGATGATGATGATGATGATGATGATGATGATGTTCATGATGATGATACTGCTGCTTCTGCTGCAGCTGATGATGATGCTGATGAGGCTGCTGCTGCTGATGATGATGATGCTGATTATGGTTGTGATGGTGGTGCTGCTGATCATGACGATGCTGATGCTGATGATGCTGCTGATGGTGAGGATGATGAGGATCATGATGTTGACGATGAAGATGATGCTGTGAAGATGAAGGTGATGATGATGATGATGATGGTGGTGGTGGTGATGATGATGATGATGATGATGATGATGATGATGATGATGATGATGATGATGATGATGATGATGATGATGATGATGATGATGCCGCGGCCGGGTCTTGCCGCGGCTTCGCCCCCCCTCTGGGCTCTTCGTCGGTTGCCGCCGCTCCAGGCGAGGGGAGGGGGGGCGGGTGGAGCGCAGCGGAGAACGGCGTGGTGGAGGGCGGGGCAGCCCAGCAGCCGCAGGACCGCTCGCAGGGGAGCATCGCCACCGCTGCCGCTACCGCCGTCGTCGTCCCCAGATATCCGCGGCCCCGAGCTCCGGACCTCTTCCCCGCGGGTGCAGTTTATGGCCACGGGGCCCACAAGCGGCCCCGGGAGGCCAAAGGCCGAAGTGAAGGAAAAGCCGCCGGGCTCAAGAACACATCATGTCGTTGGACTTCTGCGTCGTTGTTGTTGTTGTCGTCGTCGTCGTCGTCGCAGTCGCAGTCCTTCGTCGCCGTCGCCGTCGGGGAGGCCGCGGCTCCCGCTGGGCAGCGGGCGTGGAAGGTTCGGGGGTGGGGGGGGGGCAGGCCGGCGAGCCCTGGCGGCGCCCTGCGGGTGCGGCCCGCCACGAGGGCGTCTTCCGCGCCGCCGATCCCGAGGCCAGGCGAGGGGGGAAGGGGGGAGGGTGGGAAGAGTGAGAGAGAATAGGAGGAGGAGGAGGAGGAGGAGGAGGAGGAGGAGGAGGAGGAGGAGGAGAGAGGAGGAGGCGAAGGAGGGGAGGAGGAGGAGGAGGAGGAGGACGAGAAAGAGGAGGAGAAGAAGTAGGAATATGAGAAGAAGGGGGAGGAGGAGGAGAGGAGGAGGAGAGGAGGAGGAGGAGGGAGGAGGGGAGGAGGAGGAGGAGGAGGAGGAGGTGGAGGGGAAGACTAAGGAGAAAGGAGGATGAGGAGGATAAATTAGGTGGAGGAGGAGGAGCGAAGGAGGAGAGGGGGGAGGAGAGGAGGAGTGGAGGAGAAGGAGGAGGAGGACAGGAGGAGGTGGAGAGAGGTGGAGGAGAAGAAGAGAGCAGGAGGCAGAGGAGGAGAGGAGGAGGAGGAGGAGGAGGAGGAGGAGGAGGAGAGAGGAGGAGGAGGGTGAGGAGGGGGAGGAGAAAGAGGAGGAGCAGGAGGAGGAGGAGGAGGAGGAGGAGGAGAGGAAGAGAAGAGAGGAGAGGAGGAGGAGGAGGAGGAGGAGAGGAGGAGGAGGAGGAGGAGGAGGTAGGAGGAGGAGGAGGAGGAGGAGGGGGAAGACTGAGGGAGAAGAGGAGGAGGAGGCGGAGGAGGATAGAGGAGAGGAGGTGGAGAAGGAGGAGGAGGCAAAGGAGGCAAAGGGAGGAGGAGGTGGAGAAGGTGGGAAGGAGGTGGAGGAGGGGGAGGAGGAAGAGGAGGAGGAGAAGAGGAGGGAGGAGGAAGGAGGAGGATAGGCGAAGGAGGAAGGGGGGAGGAGATGGAGGAGGTGGAGAAGGGGGGAGGATGAGATGAGAAGGAGGGAAGAGGAGGTGGAGGAGGAAGAGGAAGAGGAGGAGGAGGAGGAAGATGAGAGGAGGGGAGGAGGAGGAGGAGGAGGAGGGGAAAGTCTGAGTGAGAAGAGGAGGAGGAGGCGGAGGAGGAGCAGGAGGAGGAAGAGGAGGAGGAGGAGGAGGAGGAGGAGGAGGAGGAGGAGGACCAGTGCAAACCCAAGGCTCACCAACGATATTGCAGTACACCCTCCCTCCAATTTCCCTCTTCATAGGCACCTGCACGGAGTCATTTTCTCTGAAGGAAATGCCCCGTTGGAGGACATACGTTTAAAGTCTGGAATTGTGCCAGAACATCATTTCTGGGACATCAACGCCGCGAATCACATTTTTATAGCGTCTAGACGATCCTGAACGGTGCCAGAACACCATTCTTGGGACTGCAATGCCGCGGTTCAACGTGACTGTTGCGCCCTGACATTCCGGCACCGTGCCAAAACACGACTTTTGGGACGTTAGCCATGAGAAACTGTGATGAAACTGAACTTAAGGCGCTAGGGCGAGAGCCACACTCCGAAAAGGATCCGCCCTCCATGCGTGAAACTCTTGCGAACTTTTCAGACGAATGCGCGCGCGCCGCTAAAGCGAGAGCCACATTTTGAAAAGGAGCCGTCCTCCATCCGTGAAGCGCATGAAAGTTGTGCGACGAATGTGCGCGGCGTAAGACGAGAGCCACCTTTTGAAAACGGACCGCCGTCCATGTCTGAAACACTTGCAAACTTTTCAGAAGAATGTGCGTGGCGCGAAGGCAAGAGGCATATTTTGAAAATGGGCCGCCCTCCACCAGTGAGTGGTGAGGAAGTCTCAGGCCAAACGCCGGGCCCACCCTTTCGACTGGTCTCGGGGTGGGAGGCGTTACTATTCATAAGGAACAAAAGCGGAGGAGGAGGAGGAGGAGTAGCTGGAGCAGGAGGAGGAGGAGGAGGACGAGGAGAGGAGGAGGAGGAGGAGGAGGAGGAGGAGCAGGTGGAGGAGGAGGAGGAGGAGGAGGACAAAGGGGAGGAGGAGGAGGACAAAGAGGAGGAGGAAGAGGAGGAGGATGCGGAGGAGGAGGAGGCGCCGCGGGTCGGCGCACGCCCCCCCCCCGGGCACCGCACGTCACCACCCACCAGACCACCTCAACCCAACACGGAGGCTCCAATAGAGGGAGGAGGAGAGGAGGAGGAGGAGGAGGAAGAGGATGAGGAGGAGGAGGAGAAGGACGAGGAGGAGAGAGGAGGAGAGGAGGAGGAGGAGGAGGAGGAGAGGAGGAGGAGGAGGAGGAGGAGGAGGAGGAGGAGGAGGACGAGGAGGAGGAGGAGGAGGAGGAGGAGGAGGAGGAGGAGGAGGAGGAGGAGGAAGAGGGGAGGGGAGGCGGCGGGGGAACCGAGCACGTGTGGGTGACGCAAGGGGGAAGGGTGGGGGATGGTAGGGGAAGGGATAGAGGAATTGGAGGGGTGTGGAGACGGGCAGGGCAGGGTAGGGGGTGGGGGCTCCCCCCTCTGGCAGCCGCGCGAGGAGCTTGAGCGGCGCATGCAGAGCATCGCCGCGAAGCTCGACGACGCGTCCGAGTGCAGCATGCGCCGTCTCACCGCGCGCCTCGAGGCGGACCGCTTTCTTACCCTCCCACGCGAGGGAGGATGAGGGAAGGAGGGAGGTGATGATGATGCTGGTGATGCTGCTGATAATGCTGGTGGTGAGTAGTGAAGATGACGACGATGTCGGTGATGTTGACGACGAGAAATGCGACGGCGACACTGCCGCTGATGATTAAGTTCATGGATGGTGATAGAGGAACACGTGGGGGATGAGGAGGTGGACAGAGAGGACGATGGTTAGGACGCGGATGATGATGATGATGATGATGATGATGATGATGCTGATGATGATGATGATGATGATGATGATGATGATGATGATGGTGATGATGATGATGATGCTGACGATGACGATGATGATGATGGTGATGCTGTTGATGATGATGACGATGACGATCATGGTGATGATGCTATGATGATGGTGATGCTGATTACGATGGTGGTGGTGGTGGTGGTGGTGGTTGTGCTGATGGTGATGGTGGTGATGATGATGTTGATGTTTTTTGTGAAGATGGTGCTGTTGCTGCTGATTATGATGGGAGATTATCATGATGTTGGCGATGACGATGATGACGATAGCGGTTCTGATGTTGATGGTTCGAATCATACGGTTGCGGTTGATAGTGTTAACAACGATGCTGTTGATACTGATGATGACGCTACGGATGATGACGACGACGATGATGGTGATGATGGTGATGCTGATGATGATGCTGATGATGATGATGCTGATGCTGATGATGATGATGCGGATGATCCTGCTGATGCTGATGCTGTTATTGCTGCTGGTGGTGTTGATGATGCTACTGATGATGGTTGTGGTAATGGTGATGGTGATGGTGGTGCTGCTGCTGATGATGGTGGTGGTGGTGCTGCTGCCGATGATGATGTTGCTGACAAGTGTGATGACGATGCTGATGATGATGTTGATGATGCGGTTGATGATGATTATGATGCTGATGCTGATGCTTCTGCTGCTGCTGATGATGATGATGATGAATCTGGTGATCAGGATGAGGATGAGGATGATGCTGAGGATGAGGATGAGGATGATGCTCAGGATAATGCTGATTGTGATGATGATGTTGATGATGCTGATCATGATGATGATGATGATGATGCTGATGATGATGAAGATGATGATGCTGCTGCTGATGATGATGATGATGATGATGCCTATGCTGATGACGATGTTGTTGATGTTTATGATGATGATGCTGCTGCTGATGATGATGATGAGTGAGAAGGAGGAGGAGGAGGAGGAGGAGGAGGAGGAGGAGGAGGACTAGGAGGACTGAGGAGGAGGAGGAGGCGGATGAGGAGGATGAGGAGGAGGGGAACGAGGAGGAGGAGGAGGAGGAGGAGGAGGAGCAGGTGGTGGTGGTGTGATGATGCTGACGATGATGCTGATGATGATGCTGCTGATGATGATGACGATGAAGAATAATCTGGTAAGGATGCTTATGAATATGCTGTTGTTGATGGTGACTTGGAGAGGAGGAGGAGGAGGAGGAGGAGGAGGAGGATGAGGAGGAAGAGACCCAAGAGGAGAAGGAGGGTGATGATGATGATGATGATAATGATGAGGAGGAGGAGGAGGAGAAGGAGGGAGGAACATGCAGGACGAGGAGGCAGGACGAAGAGGATGAGGAGGAGCAGGAGGAGGACGAGTCAGAGAAAGAGGAAGCTGTTCCATCCTGGGCTCCCTTGCGGTGCTGCGCCAGACACTCGTACTTGTTACGTACGTCTGGCCCCTTTGTTCTGCACAATTTTAGCTCTATTTGCGACTTCATAGCGTTCGTGTGGTTTCGTCCGTGGATTTCCCTAGTCAAACATTAACGACGATGTCGGTCGGGGCGTCCTCGATAGAGGTGGCCCCTGAGGCGGCTCTGGCAGTCGTGGGTTGGGGCCGGTTCCAGGGCGACCACGTGGCTGATAGCCATTGGCGCCCTCGGTTTGGGGGGGATTTGAGCTGGCCTTTGGGCGGCCCCACGGGCGCAGGCGTGGGCAACATCTTGACTGAGATACGTATCCATAACAGCGAACGTAAGCCTTGTGGGTGCGCCACTGCCTGCTCATTCTGCGTCGCAGGGGCAGGGGCCTTCTCCCTCACCCCTTGCACACACGTGAGGCATTCAAGGAAGGGCCTCGCCTTGGAGGATCGAATGAGTTGACATCTCTTCCTCGGCGGAGTGCGGCGGAAGCTGGCGGACCCCCCCTCATCTTGCAAATGCCGAGACCGTCCAAGCGGATCCGGGACGCAAAACACCAGCCGCAGGGAAATTGTCGGGACCCCTTGGGCTTAGGGCCGTGGGTTCGAAGAGTCGCATTGGCGGCTGTCGGGAACAGGGGCCTCCAGGGCGCTGGCAAGCCCTCGGCCCTCGATTCTCCAGCCTGCCGCGCGCAGACCTGCGGCCTGCCAGCCCCCCAGCCTGCCGCCCGGAGGACCAGTCCAGATCCGCGCGCACGGCGCAGTGGCCCGATCCCGGGCGAGGCATCGCCGAGGTGGTCCGTGGCGCCCTCAAGGAGAACCAGGCGTGGGCCCCAGCGCCGTCCCCAGATCTCCGACGATTTACGTCTTTCAATATGCATTTACATATGTATACGTATATGTATATGTATCTGTATGTATGTATATATATATATATATGTATTCCTATACGTTGGTATATATATATATATGGGTATGCATGCATCTATAACTATATATGTATGTACGTGCGTACGAATATACATACGTACATACATGCAACCATACACACATACATGCATACATACATACAAATATGCATGTATGTATGTATGTACGTATGCATGTCTGTATGTATGTATCTAGGTATGTATGTATGCACGTCTGCCTGTCTGGCTGTCTGTCTGTATGTATGTGTGTGTATGTATGTATGTATGTATGCATGTATGCATGCATACATGTATGTATGTATGTATGTATGTATGTATGCATGCATGCATGCATGCATGTACGTATGTATGTATGTATGCATGCATGCATGCATGCGTGCGTGCATGCATGCATGCATGTCTGCCTGTCTGTCTGTCTGTCTATATGTATGTTTGCCTGCCTGTCTATATGTCTGTATGTCTGTATGTCTGTATGTCTGTATGTCTATGAATGTATATGCATGCATGCATGAATGTATGTATGCATGCATGCATGCATGCATGTATGTATGTCTCTCTCTCTCTCTCTCTATATATATATATATGCACATGTGTACGCAGTCCTGCCGTTTTTTCGACGATGTCGGCCTCTGTGGGCCGTTTTCAAGCCCCGGTTCTATCAATCTTTGTTTCGGGACGGGAAGCTGATCCCCGGGTGGTGGTCGAGACCTCTGAGCCCGCGGTGTGAACAAAAAAAAGATGCCTGGGCCCGTCTCCCTCCGCGCTTCGGGGAACGGGAGGTCGGTGCCGCTCTATCTCCGCCGGGGGGCGGCCCCTGTGTAGTCCTCTGGACAGCCCCAGGAGAGCACGACGCAGCCCCGCTCCCGTACGGCACGTTCCCGCCTCGTTGACGCGACGGCGACCCCGCCGCGGGCGTTGAAGGTTGAACGCCGCCAGTGGCCTAGAGTCGGCAATTATGGAACGATCTGGCGATCGACAAGCGCCGACCGTTCGAGGTTGAACGGTCCGCGCGGTGTAAGAGACCAACGCCGATGCCATCGCGACGCGAATGTGCCGTACCTTGGGCGGGTTGGAAGGTCTTTGCGTCGCCCCTCTCACCCGCTCCTAGCCTGGCCTGCACGTGCTCCTCCTACGGCCAGGATGTGCAAGCGCCCGGGCTCCTTGAGGACGTTGGCAGTTGCCCCGCGCTTGGGCGCAGGGGCATCTTCGGCAAATCGCCGGCGGCCAGGAGGTCTTCTCCAGTGCGCTCCAGAACCTGGCCCCGAGTGGCAGGCCCAGCAGCCCCTCTCCGCCATCGATTTTGTACGTGGTGGAGGGCGACAGATCTGCTCGCTGGTATGTCTAACTCCCGCTCGCCAGACTGGCAAGGAGGGCCTCTGGGCTACACGCGGGAACCGCGTGCGATGGCGATCGGGGACGTGCCCTCTCCTTCTCCCTAATCCCCTCTGCTCCCATTTCTGTCTTGTGTCGTTCCGCCCTCCTCTCCTCCCTCCTCCCTCGCCCCCGTCCCAGTCTTCGTCCTCTTGCTGTCTCTTGTGGGGTTCGCCTTCTCCCCGCCCTCCTCCTCCTCCTCCTCCTCCTCCTTCCCCCTGCTCCTGCTGCTGCTCCTGCCAACCACCGCCCCGATGACGATGACGATGACGATGACGATGGCGATATCGATGGCGATGATGATGAAGACGAGGATGAGGATGATGATGATGATGATGATGATGATGATGATGATGATGATGATGATGCTGATGATGATGATGATGATGATGATGATGTTGCAGATGATGATGATGATGATGATGATGATGATCATGATGATGATGATGATGATGATGGTTATGATGATGATGATGAAGTTGATAATGCTAAGTCAGATGATGCTGATGAAGATGCTGCTGATGATGATGCTGATGGTGATGATGATGCTGATGCTGATGATGACGATGGTGATGATGCTGATGTTGAAGAAGATGATGATGATGATGATGATGATGCTGATGCTGATGATGATGAGGATGATGAGGAAGAGGATGCTGATGATTATGTGGATGAGGGGGAAGAGGAGGATCAGGATCATAATTCGTGTGCTGACGATGCTACTGATGGAGTTGACGTTGGCGGTGCAGATGATGCTGTTAATGATGATGCGGATGATGACGACGATGAGGATGACGATGATGATCATGGTATGATGATGGTGATGATGATGGTGATGATGATGACGACGAGGATAATACTCATGATGATGTTGATGTTGATGTTGATGATGATGCTGATGATGATGATGAGGTTGATGAAGATGATGGTTCTGGTGACGCTTGGTACGTAATTGTTGGTTAGTGATCGTGAGGATGATGACGATGCTGATGCTCACGATGATGACGATGACGATGACGAGGATGATGATGATGATGATGATGATGATGATGATGATGATGATGATGATGATGATGATGATGATGATGATGATGCTGGATGATGATGATGATGATGCCGCCGATGCCGACGACGAAGACGATGATGCTGCTGATAGTGATGATGATGATGATGATGATGCAGAGGAAGGTGACGATGCTGATGGTAATGATAATGACAATGATGCTGCTGATGATGATGATGATGATGATGATGATGAGGGTAATCGTAATGATGGTGATGATGATGACGGTGATGCTGACGATGGTGGTGATGCTCATCGTGATGAAGATGCTGCTGACGATGATGCTGCTGATGATGATGGTGATGATGCTGACGATGGTGGTAATAATGATGAGGATGGTGCTGGTGCTGGTGGTGATGATGGGGATGATATCGGTGATGATTTTGATGATGTTGTTGATGCTGATGGTGACGATGGTGCTGCTCCTGATGATGCTGATGCTGCGGATGATGACGACGATGATGATAATGATGATGTTGATGCTGGTGCTGATGCTGTTGCTGCTGATGCTGCTGCTGATGATGATGATGATGATGATGATGATGATTGCGTTGGTGGTGATGATCGATGGTTGATCACAGGTGATTGCGATGATGACGATGCTGAGGGCCTGCCGCTGCTGCTGAGGATGAGCATGTTGCTGCTGCTTCCTGATGGTGTTGTTGCTGTCGTGTTTGGTGTCGGTGACGATTATGATGATGCTGTAAATGATGATGATGATGATGCTGATGATGCTGATGATGTTGGGTATGATGTTGTTGCTGATGACGATGATGCTGATGATGATGCTGATGCTGCTGATGATGATGCTGATGCTGATGATGACGCTGAGGATGCGGATGAGGATGAGGTTGATGATGATGATGGTGGTGGTGGTGATGATGATGTTGATTATGATGCTGATGCTGATGCTGATGCTGCTGCTGATGATGAGGAGGAGATTGAGGATGAGGAGGAGGAGGACGAGGAGGAGGAGAAGGAGGAGGAGGAGTGGAAGGAGAAGGTTGAAGGAGCAAGAGGGGACGGAGGAGGAGGAGGAGGAGGAGAAGGAGGACGAGGAGGAGGAGGAGGCGGATTAGGAGGGGGAGGAGGAGGAGGAGGAGGAGGAGGAGGAGGAGAAGGCGGAGGAGGAGGAGGATTGCGGCAGACCGCGCACGAGCATCGAGGGCCTCGAGGGTCGATGTTTCCAATGCTGGCCACCCTGTTGCTCCCTGCCCGCTGCAAGCCTCCTGTGCCCCCAGGCGCCGAAGGGCTACTGCCCTTGGGGCGGCCGGCCCAACGGGGGCCACAAGGAGGGCCGCTCCCTGCAGGAGCCGCTGGTGCGTACGCCCGAGAAGGCGGGGCCCGTGCAAAATCCTGCGGTCTGGTGGAGCTCGTCATCGCCGTCGTTGCCGTCGTCGTCGCCGTCGTCGCCGTCGTTGCCGCCGTCGCCGTCGTCGTCGCGGCCGTTGTCGTCGCCGCCGCCGTCGTCGCCGCCGTCGCCGTCGTCGTCGCCGTCGTCGCTGTCGTCGCGGTTGTCGCCGTCGTCGCCGTCGTTGCCGTCGTCGTCGTCGTCGTCGTCGTCGTTGTCGTCGTCGTTGTCCTCGTCGTCGTCGTCGTCCTCGTCGTCGTCGTTTTCGTCGTCGTCGTCGTTGTCGTCGTCGTCGTCGTCCGTGGTCCGTCGTCCGTCTTCCGTCCTCATGATGATGATGAGGATGAGGATGACGATGCTGCTGATGATGATGCTGCTGATGATGATGGTGGTGACGATGATGAGGATGGTGAGGATGAGAGGAGGATGAGGATGAGGATGATGTTGATGATGATGATGCTGATGATGAGGAGGATGAGGATGAAGATAAGGATGATGATGGTGGTGGTGCTGTTGATGATGATTATGATTATGCTGATGATGATACTGATGATGGTGATGGTGCGAAGAAAGGTTCTTATGATGATGGTTTTGGTGATGCACATGATGATGGTGATGATGTTGAGGATAAGGATGATGATGATGATGATGATGATGATGGTGATGATGATGATGATGATGATGATGATGATGATGATGATGACGATGCTGATGCTGATGCTGATGCTGATGTTGATGCTGATGCTGATGCTGATTCTGTTGCTGTTGCTGCTGCTGATGATGATGCTGATGCTGATGCTGATTCTGCTGATGGTGATGCTGATGATTATGATGATGATGCTGATGCTGATGCTGATGCTGATGATGATGATGATGCTGATGATGATGATGATGATGATGATGATGATGATGATGATGATGATGATGATGATGATGATGGCGAACGGTCGGCGATCGGACGAAACACAACCGCTTTTTCGGATTCCCACTGGGAAGTTTAAAGGATGTCGCCGCATCCAGAAGCGATCTCATGATCCCTCCCTTGATCGAAGCCCTCTTGAAGCGCCCCCAGACGTCGTAACCGCTTCAGACCGATCGCAACTGCTTGCGATCGGTTCGAAATGGTCGACGATTGGTCCGAAGCGGTTACGACCGGTCGTGCTCGCCGAGGGAGCGCCGCCGAGCGGAGCCCAGGCTCTGGGGACCGATCGCTCTCGATCGACAGATCGCAGGCGACCCGTCGGTCGAAGGTCGAAGGCGATCGGCCGATTCTCTCGGCTGGCGGCGGCCTCGGGCGACTGCGGGACTGCGGCGCCCTCGCGTGGGCGGGCGGAGCAACCCCCCCCACCCCCTCTTGCCGCCAGCCCCTCCTCGGCCCCCCTCGACCCTCCTCCGCCCTCGATCTGCGATCCTCCTCGATGCTCCCCGATCCTCCCCGATCCTCCCCGATCCTCCTCGGCCCTCCTCTGTCCTCCCCGATCCTCCTCGATCCTCTTGGGACCCTCGATCCTCTTGGGGATCCTCGATCCCCTCCCCGATCCCGTCCTCGATCCTCCTGGATCCTCGACCCTCCTCGCTCCCCGGTCCCCCTCGATTCTGCCCTCGCTTCTCCGCGCCCTCCTGGGAGGTGCCCGCCCGCAAGGGCCGCCCGGCGGCGGCCCCGGACCTGCTGGCCGCGGTGCCGGGCGGGCTGTCGGGAGCGCCCGCCGGGGGAGGCGGCCGCCGCCCCGGCGGGCGGCGGGCGGCGGGGGGCGGCCTGCGGCTGGCTCCGTCTGCCTCGGCCTCCTGCTGCTTCCCGAGGCGGGGGTCTGAGGCATACCCACCGCCTGGGGGATGGATCCTCGCGGACCTCCACGGGCGGCGGATACGGACAGAGTGGGGCCCTGGGGGGCCCAAGTATACCCATATCCACCTGCAGCGGGAGCTCGCGTCAAATTCGAGATTGGGCCTCGTCGTTGTTTATGATGCCACCGTCAGGCCAACCCGAGTCTCCCGTAATTGCCCGAGTCTTGCGTCTCCCCGATCCGAGGGAATCTGTCGAGACCCTGCGGGGCCGACGTTGTGCAGAGCGTAAGGAGGGTCGAGCCCTTGCGGGGCCGACGCTGTGAAGAGAGCATGGCGGGTCGAGACCCTGTGGGGCCGACGTGGTGGAGAGAGAGCAAGGAGGGTCGAGCCCTTGCGGGGTCGACGCTGTGAAGCGAGCAGGACGTCGGAGCCCCCGTCCCCCCTCCATCCCCGCTCCTTGTCCATTCCTCCAGCTGCCTCGACGCTTCGCCGCCGCTGCGCCGCTGCCCTTCTCCGCGAGGCTGCTGTCTTCGGGGTCCTCTCTCGCTTCGGGGGGGCTGTCCCGCGGCGGGGCTGCGGCCGCGCGAGCGCCGTGTCACTCCCGGCTTTTCTCTTGGGTGGGGTCCTTTCGACGCGCGCTCGCCTGGGCCTCCTCAGTCGGGAGTGTCTGGTTCTCGGGGGCTGGCTGGGGGAGGCCGGCCGCTCGTGACGCGGCCGGCCAGCCCGGGCGAGGGCTGGAGACACGCGTCGCCGCACCTCCTGCCAGCGCTCGGCCCTCGTGCGGGCCGGGGACGCCGGCCCTCCGCGCACGTGGGCACCCGGCGCGCGGCCGCCGCGTGCGCTGCACACGAGCCGAGAGAGAGAGAGAGAGATCCAACGCGGTGGACACAATCCAGACGGAGGTTTCCCCTAGCTTTCGGCCTCGATAGGGGCCTTCGTTGGGCCCAGGGACCGTCAGAAAACGGCTCGGGGTGAAAGAGGGGTCCTGGGGAATGGGTCGAGACTTCCGGGGACCCCGTATTGAACAAATCACGACATCGAATCTTTGGGAGTCCAGCTGCACGTGCTTCCGGCTTCCCGGCAGTGCGATGCAGCAGCAGCGGCGGCGACTGCAGCGGCGGCATCGAGAGACCGGCCTGCTGCAGCAGCCGGTCCCGGCGAGGGCCCCAAGAGGCCAGAAACGGCGAACAGCTTCTGCATTGAGTCATTCAGTGCGCTGGAGGTCTGGGGTGTGGCGGAGGCGGCGGCCGCAGCGGCGTCGGCAGCGGCGTCGGCCGCCTGCAGTGGCCCAGAAAGGACCAACGCGTCCAAAATCTTTGAGCCTCGAGATTCGATCCTCGACTCTCGAGACTCGATCTTCGAGACTCCTGCAGCAGCAGCAGCAGCAGCAGCAGCAGCAGCAGCAGCAGCTGGTGGCGGCGGCGGCGGCGGCGGCGGATGCGGCGATGATCGCCCTGTTCCGACGCTCGAGTTTTCGCGGCGCTGGGCTGCTCGTTCAGAGCTTGGGAAAGCTTGCGGTCGTCACGGATATCTCCATGCTGCTGCTCACAAGACTGCGGCGGCGAAATTAGCCTGGCGAAAGACCCAACCATATGCAATTGTGGATACCGTCGTTGTATGCACCGCATTTGGTGGAGCTCCTTTTCGGGCCACGAAACGTGTCAAGGGTGTGCCAAAATGGGTGCGGTGGGCCCACGCGGGCACTGGCATTTGGGCCTTCGGCGGGGCTCCGTATGGGGCCACGAAGCGATTAAGGGGCGTCCCGAAATGGGTGCGGCGGGCGCGCACGAGCGCTGGCATCTGGGCCTTTCGTGAAGCTCCCTATGGGCCCCGAAGCGTGTGGGGTGCGCGCCAAAATGGACGCGGTGGGCACATGCGAGCGGTGGCATCTGGGCCTCTCGTGAAGCTCCCTATGGGGCCCCGAAGCGTGTGGGGGGAGTGCCAAAATAGGTGCGGTGGGCGCATGCGAGCGCTGGCATGTGGGCCTTCGGTGGGTGCTCCCTGTGGTGTCACGAAGCGCGTGGGGGAAATTCCACAATGGGTGCGGTGGGCGCATGCGAACGCTGGCATCTGGACCTTTGGTGGAGCTCCCTATGGGGCCACGAAGTGTCTGAGGGGCGTGCCAAAATGGGTGTGGTGGGCGCATGCGAGCGCTGGCATGTGGACCTTCGGTGGAGTTCCTTCACAGGCCACGAAACGTGTGAGGGATGCGCCAAAGTGGGGGAGGGGAGGATAAGGGGGAGGAGGGGGAAAGGAGGAGAGGAGAGAGAGGAGAGGAGAGGAGAGGAGAGGAGAAGAGAGGGGGAGGTGGGACGCGGGAGGGAGGAGGTGGAGGAGGGGCACGAAGGAGGAAGGAAGGAATGCGGGGCGTTGTCTTTTCAAAGCGAGGACCCAACACCACATGATGGTTGGGAAAAACGTCTCGCAACACCAGCCGGTGCGGCGGAGGCGGCGGCCGCAGCGGCAGCGGCGGCGGCGGCGCGCGCGGCAGCGCCAGCGGCAGCGGTTAGAGACTCGCAGCACCAGCCTTTGCGGCGGAGGCGGCGGCCGCAGCAGTCGGCAGCGGCGGCGGCGGGCGCGGCAGCGCCAGCGGCCGCAGCAGTCGGCAGCGGCGGCGGCGGCGGCGCGCCCGCCGTCGCCCGAGGCGTCGGCCGCCTGCTGCGGCAGCCGCCCTCGGTGGCGGCCGCGGCGCTGCCCGCTGCGGCGAGCGGCGGCGTGCCGCCCACCGCAGCGGCCGCCGCCGCGGAGCCCGCGGCGCCTGCCTCGCCGGCGTTCGCGGCGCCGCCGAGGAGCGCGGCCGCGCCTCTCCCAGACCCCCGGCGTCGTGATTTTTTCACGTGGCGTCGACCCCCGGAGGTCTCGACCCATTCCCCGGGACCTGTTGTTCCTCCCGAGTCGTTCTCTGACGGCATCGAGGCCCGGTCGGGGCCCCAGAGGCCGAGCATAGCGAAGAAGCTCCTGTGGTGATATGTTTCCTTTGCTCGAGGGGGTCTGGGCTCCGCGGTGTCCACTTCGATCCGATTGGGCCAGCTCGGTTTGGAGCCGGCTCGAGGTCTGAGGTGGCCCAGCATCGGTTCTGGCCAGCAGGAAGGGGGAGAAAAGGTTCGAGGTGGAAGAAGTTGCGACGCTACGATCTCAGGGCAGCCGCCCACGGCGCCGTCGAAGAGCGCAGCCGGGGCCGCCTACGGTGCGACTCGATCCGACCCCCACTCGTCGGTTCCAAGACAATTGGCTGCTCCAACTCTTGATGCTTCGCGTATTCTCAGCCTCTTGGAGACTATCTTGAGCCATGCTCGGCTTGAGGCTGTCGGAGGCTAGTTATCTTGAGCCATGCTCAGCTATCCTGGGCCATCCGGAGGCTGTCTTGATGCCTCTCGGAGGCCCGTCAGAGGCTATCTTAAGCCATGCTCGATCTCCTGAGGCCATCTTGGGGGTAGGAGGAGGAAGAGGAGGATGATGAGAAGGAGGATGGTGAGGAGGAGGCGGATGAGTAGGAGGATGAGGAGGAGGATTAAGAGAGAAGGATGAGGAGCGGGAAGAAGAGGAGGAGGAGCAGGAGGAGGAGGAGGAGGAATGCGGCACCAGGAAGACGATGCTGCTGCTGCTGCTGATGCTGCTGCTGCTGCTGCTGCTGCTGCTGCTGCTGATGATGATGATGATGATGATGCTGCTGACGATGGTGATGCTGATGATGATGCTGCTGCTGATGATGATGCTGATAGGCTGATGATGATATTGGGGATGAGCTACTGCTGCTGCTGCTGCTGATGGTGGTGGTGGTGGTGATGATACTGCTGCTGCTGCTGATGATGATGATGCTGATGATGATGATGATGATGATGATGATGATGATGATGATGATGATGATGATGATGATGATGAGGATAACGAGGATGATGAGGAGGGAGGCGGCAGGAAAGGAGGAGGGAAGGAATGGACGATGACAAGGAGGATGACAAGCTGGGCTTTGGAAGCATGTTTTTTTTGTGAGAGGTTCTTGAAGCACGATTGAACCATCTTATGGGGCTCGCTTGGGGTCCCTTTGAGGCCTCCTAGGGCACTCTTGGGGACCTCTTGGGGCTCGAATTGGGGGTCTTTGGGCCCTCTTGGGGCTCATTGGGGGGGTCTGGGAGGCCTCTTGGCCCCCATGACTCAAAAAGAGGTGGGCTCACAGATTGCGTCTTGGGGCCCTCTTGGGCCGCTCTTGAAGCGCCCTCGGGCGCTCTTGGGGCCCTCTTGGGGCCCTCTTGGGCCACTCTCGGGCCTCTCTTGGGCCGTCGTGGGTCCATCATGAGGCCTCCAGAGCCCATCAGAAGCGAAAAAGTGAGAAGGCAAAACGCATGGATTTTCCTTAAGTTTCGGAGCCATTTTGGCCTCTTGGGGGGGGGTCCTCGGAAGGTTCGGCGGGCACTGGAAACCGTCTTGCTGCCATCTTGAGGCCTCTTGGATGTGCGTCGGAGGATATCTCGAGCCATCTTGACGTATCTAGACCCATCTTGGAGATCATCTTGGACTCGTGGAGGCACTCTTGGAGCCATCTTGGACCAAAAAGCACCTTCTGACACCTCGGGCCCCCCTCCCCTTCCAGGCCTAGGGCCTAGGGGGGGGGGAGACGGGAGGATAAACCACTCCCCCGAGCAGAGGAAGGAGGGAAGTTCGTTAAACCACCTACGCCCAGAGGGATGCGTGGGCCCCAGAGGTCTGGACCACTTCCCTACGGGCCGGGATTCCGTCCCGAGTCGTTTTTGGATGGCCCCGAGGCCTGGCGAGGGCCCCCGGAGGTCGAAATCAGCCCCCCCAAACCGCCGGTTCCGGTTTCGGTCCGTCCACGGCACGAGGGGCGCGGTCCAGGGGCGCCCGCGGCTCAGCCGAGGAGCGCGACCGCCTCGCCTTCGGTCGGCCCGACGCCACCCAGGATCGGCCGACATCGAGCGGTCCGCGGTCGTTCAAGGTTAACTAGACGATCAGCGCGGCGTCAGAAGCCCACGCGCCCAGGTCGCCACGACACGAGGGTGGGGGGCTGCCAGGGCAGGGGTGGGCACATGGGCAGGGGTGGGGGGATGGCAGGCAGGGTTAATGTTGAGTCGGGCATGTCCCTCTATAGGAGGAGTATTCAAAACTAGCTTTGAAAAATATGGGGCCGACTTTTTAGATTATTTTGATTTTTGTTGCATATGTTTCATGATCCGTCCAATATCCGCCTGTGGGAGGACATGCCCGACCTAATGTTGCATGGAGCTGATCAGAATCTTTGTAGTTGAGCCTCAGGTGCGGTAGGCAGGGCCAGGGAGATCGTAGGAGCATGGCAGGCTGCTGGGGCCCCGGCGGGGATGGTGGGCACACGGGGTTGTAGGGGGATGATCGGGGTATGTAGGGGCGGAGGGGGGGTAAGCAGGTTTTGCTGATCTGCCTTTCTTTCCCCTGGCTCGCTTTGAACTCTCTGCCGTGCTGCCCCAGGGCCTGCAGGCAGAAGGGGATGGTGCCGCCTCATGGGCGAACATCCCTTGTGCGTACCCATTGGGGCTCAAGCCACTTCGGCTCAAGCCGCCCCGTGGCCGTCGTAGCGCAGTCCATGTGCTCCCGAGGATGGCCCGTCCACTCCGTGCACTCATTAGCTGGGTATGCAGGGAGTAGCGCAGAGTGTATCGGTATTTCCTTGGCGCGTGGCGACGGGAAGGAGTGGTGTCAGTCTCCTGGGCGCTAGACCACGGCTTTTTGTTATTCAGGCTTGCAAGCTCAAATTCGATGACGGATCGATTTGCGGGCAGGAGTCTTGTCAGAGGCCGTCCTTGTTAAATCTTTACCCGGGAGTGAGAGGCAAAGTCTTGGAAGCCGCAACGCGACAGATCTTGACAGATCTTGAGGGACGTGAATTCCAAGGCGACCTCTGAGGATCCTGTGCCCGGATGGTGCGTGAATGGTATTCGCCGCTCGCAGCAGATGGCAGAGTACGATTGGTTGGTGTGTGGGAAGCGCATCGAATGCAAAAGCTCTTTGCTGTGCTGGGACAAGGGGTCTCTTTCGTGGTGTGTGCGCTTCTACGGGATCAAAGCAGCTTGTCATGGCATTCGTGAGCGCAGTGCTTCCGATGAGCTCAGTCTTTCGTTGTGCACGCCGCACACACTGTACATCCACCAGCATGACGGGGCATTCCACTTGAGCAGGGACCGTGCCCATACTGCTAGTAGAGGCGATGTGATTCGTTTCAGAGGTCCTGCGAAAGAGGCGAATTGGCAATTATCACTCAACGCCATCCTTGGAAAGCTGGATGATAGTAGAAATGGATGCCAGCGTTTGGCCGAAGTACCTCTGAGGGACAATCGTATAACCGACGCTTCCGAGCAGGCGTCATCTACAACACAGATCGCTTACATCGGCGTGCCCCTATCGGGTTTGAGTCCATGTGCCCGTGGCTTACATATTGAGAAAGCTGTACAAGCTGTAGATGTTATTCGGCACCCGCGAGCCTCGTTCAAGAGGGAAACCGACAGTCTTGATACGAATCGTCGGTATGATTGGATGCGTGATGACGTGCATGTTGAACGCAAGTCGTCTGGGTTGAATTGGAATGCAACGAACAAGTGTTGGGCAGTTTCGTTCGACGGCGTCAAGCGAGCTTGCTTTGACGAGCTTCTGCTAGCAGTTTGCACGCCAAGCGGAATGTACATTTACCAGCACAATATGGAGTTTATGATAAGAGCGGCTGGCATGCGCACAGCAGTAGAGGGTTACCGCGTCCAGTGCCAAGGCCCCAAACATGAACATGATTGGTCTTTGGCTCTATGCTCCATTCTGCAGAAGCTGGACGAATCAGGTTGCACCCGTGTCGCACATATTGTCTGGCAGTAATTTGTGTGCATCTGTTCGGTCAGGGGGCCTGGAGCGTTTGTTCCGCAATCCATTGGAAGTCAGCCCTTCTGGTGTTTCTTGCTCAGCGAGGGGGTGCAGTTGTCCGTCTGCTAGAAAATCGTTGGAAACAAGCAAATCGACGAATGGCTCTGGCGTATCGGGCAGCACGTCCTGGCGTAGCGCTGGCGATATCCCAGCTGCTGTCGGAGGATGGCTCAGCCTGGGGCAGGGAGTGGCGGCGGCGACCGCCGCCGCTGCAGCTCCGTGCTGCACTTCTGCGTCGCGGGTCTCGATTGGTTCGGACCCTGCGGTCTTGCTTCGAGTCCCTCGTGTTCAAGCCGTTCCCCCTCCGCCTATCCCCCACTCGGGTCCCCCTTGGGTCGCTTGCAGCAGAGGGAACTTGGGCCGGAGCAAGGGATACACCCATCGCCCCCACAGACGTGGATAGGAGTGAGGGAATGCTCTGTTCGAGCATATCTTGTCCTAACATATCCAGTTTCCACCGCTTCGGAGCTGCGCCTTGGGACTGCGAGGGACGATGGATATGGAATGCCTGGCCGCCCCTGCGGGCGAAGAATTACGTATCCACATCCATCGCTCCCTAGAGGGCAAGGCTGGGCTCTAGACGTCGTAGATGCTCCCTTGCTGTGCGTCTAGCCATGCCAGAAGCCAGCCGCGGGTGCGGATCTGATCCTCAGAGGCGTCAGGGCAAGGAGGAGGGGCGGACGGAGGATGGCCCCTGCCAGGACCTGCCTGACCCTCGGCTCCAGGCCGGAGCCCGTTGGCTCGGCGGAGCCTGCCGGCGAGCCCAGCGCACCGCTGAAGCAGCGGCTGGTCAGCAGGACATGCCTTGTCCGCGAGGGCGTGGGGAGAGCGGGCCAGGCAGGGGGTTGGAGGTTGAATGGAACTAGAGGGGGACATGGCAGAGGGAGAGAGGGAGAGTGGGGAGAGGGGGAGGGGCAGAACGAGGAGAGGAGGGGAAGGAGGATGGAGGGGGAAAGGGGATTTGTGTGTGTGTGTGTGTGTGTGTATGTGTGTGTGGGGTAAGCTCCAGACCCAGACCCACGGCGTCCTGATTTTATCATAACGTCGACCCCAGGAGGTCTCGACCCATTCCCTAGGACCAGTTTTTCAGCCTGGGTTGGTTTTTGACGGCCCCGAGGCCCTGTAAGGGCACCCAGATGCTGAAAACCGCGCAAAACCTCCCGTCGTAACTTGTTTCATGACTCGAGGGGGCGAGCTGCGGGTTGCGCCCCGTCCCAGGGCCGAGGGAGGGCAGGCCGTGCGGCGGGTCTCTGGCAGTGCGGCGAGCCTGCTCCTGCCGCGCTGCCGCTGCTGCTGCTGCTGCTCCTCCTCCTGTCGCTCCTGGACCGTCCCCGGCGCCCCCCTCGAGGGTGCCGTGACAGCCCGTGCGGGCCCCAGCTCAACAAGGCCACCCGATCGTCACCGAAGTCGTCACTCTTGAGCACGGTTTGGGGCCGGATTCGCATCAGAGCGGTTCTCGCGGTGGGCATCATAGCCGCCTCACGATTCCACGCTTCACCTTCACGTGGGCATTCACAGATGGACATCACAGTCAGTTCATGTTTTTGTCATTGACTTCATTGCATGCGTAGCACGCTCTCCCCTGGGGGAGGGTTGGGGAGAAGGGGCACTCCGCCTGCCAGGGGGGGCGGAGGGGCGAGGGAAGCGCAAGGGGGGAGGGAGGTTCCGTTCCCGGCCCCCGTGCTGCAGGTACCGTGCTGGCCTGGGCTCGCTGGTCTGCGTCGGTGTGTGGGCTTGTCCCTCTCGGCTGCCACCACTCGGCCACGCGCAGAGGGGGGCAGGGTGAGGGGGGAGGCTTCTTAGAAGTACCCTGCTTCTTCGAAGTTGCGGGCTGTGTCTGTAGGTGTAAGGCCGGCGCCTTCTAAGAAGCAGCCTCCTTCTGCGCGGCGCCAAAACACTGCGCGCCGCCAAAACACTGCGTGCCAGCACGGCAGAGCTTGCGTCAGCTTCGGCCCGTCTCCCGGGTCTTGCTCCTGCCCATTTCTCCCGTCCCCCTCTTCTCCTGTTTCATTCTCCTTTTCGTCTCCTGGTCCCGCTCCTCTTGTCCCTGCCCCCTGCGGCGTGCTTTAAGCATTCGACCGCTCACGCTGCCGCCCAGGGCTTCTCGCTTTTCGAGTCCGGCGTGTCATCATGGTTGTCTGCCTCTCCCGAGCAGTGGGGTGCTGTCACGCCATCTCTGTTCAGATTCGTCTGTCTGTACCTCTGTTTCTTTTCTTCTCTCTCACTCTGTATGTATGTCTATATATAAAAAAAGCTGTGCGGAAGTGTGTGTATGTATATATGCATGCGTGCATGTATGTAAGTACGTACGTACTGGATGCACGTATGTATGTATGTATGTATGTATGTATGTATGTATGTGTGTTAATATGTGTGCATGTATGGAAATATGTGTACGGATACATATATACATGTATGTATGTATGTATATATGTATGTCTGTCTGTCTGTCTGTATGTATGTATGTATGTATGTAGGTATACATATATATGTATGTTTGCATATACGCAATGTATGTTAATGTATGGCATGCGTGTATGTATGCATGTATGTATGCATGCATGCATGCATGCATGCATGCATGCATGTATGTATGTATATTTAGTTGTAGGTATGCATGTGTGCATGCACGTATGTGCATGTGCACGCATGCAGGTACGTATATATCTATACATATATATATATGTGTATGTATGGCTGTATGGCTGTATACGTGCATGTAAGTATGCGTGTCTGCATATATATATATATATATATATATATATATATATAGATATATGTATAGAGATGTACGCATATATGGGTGTCTGTCCGCATGCCTGCATCTATGTATGTTTGCAATGTTGCATCTATGTGTGTATGCATGCATCTATGTATGTATATGCTACATGCGTACGTCCATACGCACCTGTGGATGTTTGCATGCATGCATGTGTGCATGCATGCGTGTATGCATGCATGCATATCTGACGTATGCATATAAGTCGGTACGCAGACATGCACGTATAGATCTAAGTTTGTGTATGTATGTATGGATGTATGTATGTACTGCCATCGAATACAACAATGTAACGCATTGTCAGGTAATGCGATAACATGTCATGTAATGTTCTGTAATGTCTTGTAGCGCAATGTAATGAATTTTAGTGTGAGACGCGATGTATATGTATATACGTATGTATGCATGCATGCAGGCATGCATGCATGTATGTAGTCATGTATGGGTGCATGCATGCGTGCGTGTGTATGCGTGTATGTATGTGTGTATGGATTTGCATGTCTGGGAATACAGGTGCATGTGCCCATGTATGTGTATGTATGTATGTATGCATGCATCTATGCATGTATGTATGTATGTATGTATGGATGTATGTAGGTATTCATGCATGTATAGGCATACACTTACATGTATACAACTACTCATATATGTGTATGTATGCATCTGGATATACTATATACGTTTGTGTACATATATATGTATAGGTATGTGCGCACATCCATGTATATACATATAAGCATATACACATGTACACAAACATATATATATATACGTATACATATACACAGGTACGTTCACACAACTATGTACATACATATACATGTATATATCCATAAACATACGCACACACATACACATACATACATACATATGTATATATATGTATGTATATATATACATATATATATATATATATGTATGCCTGGCGCCAGGAAGCAGATCGCGAGCGAGGCTGCGGGCTCACAGGGGGTCCAGGTGCCGCCCGCGCGCCCGCTCGACGCCCTCTTATGCCCTCCCCTAAGGCCACACCGGGCATCAAGTGTCCCGCAAAGAGGGCGAGGTACTCTGCCAGGGGTGCATTGCACCCTTGATCTTTTTCAGCCTTGGCCGGCCAACTTCCCGTGCCAGCTGTTGCAATTCGGATGCCCAGGGGCTTTCCATTCTCCCTTCGCGACTGGTCCTGAGTGTAGCAAGGGTATGGCGCGGCAGGGGCCGCCGTTGGGACGCGAACCCTTTTCTCGTGGCCTGTGCGCAATGACGTCGTGTGATCTGGTGGTGTGAGCTGTTCTCGCATTTTGGGATCTGTCCGTCTGTCCTTCTCCGAGCAGGGGCAGCCATCGCGTGGCCGGAGGGACTCGCTCCTCGGCCGAGGCTGGAGACAGGGCGGGGGGTCGAGAGAGGTGTGAGCAGTGCTTCTTCCTCTGCCAACTCCGCTGCCTGCCTGTCGTCGCGCTGGCGTCTGCCGCCTGGGGCAGGGCGAGGGCGCAGAACGAGAGTGGGCGCGTCGGCCTGGTGGAGGCCTCGGCGGAAGCGAAATGCAGACAGCAGCAGCGTGGGCGCCGCCTTCACACCGTCATGTACGTTTGCCTGCACCAGTACAGCGCACAAGTGGCCTCCCCCTTTTGCACCCCGTTCCTCTCCCAACCTCAGGCGCTCCCCTGCCCATCTACCTTCACGTGGGGCTGTCCTGGATTCGGTTGATGGATTACTTCGTGGTCGAGGAAATGATTCGTTTGGAGTCGATCGGCTTTTTCGTCTTCTGCAGGCACCACCCTTCCTCGCGCACGTGTCCCATGCTTGCGGCTCGACTCGATTCGGTAGCATCTCAAATGTGATCGACCTCGGCCTCAACGCCCGTTGCCTTCCTGGCTACACCGCGGTTGTGGCCGCCGTCGCCTGGGCACGACTACGGTCAGCCTCTGGAGGGCAAGCGGCAGGGTGAGCTTTCGGCCATATCGAGCTGAGGGGCCATGTCGAGCTTTCTCATACTGCGTCGCCTCAGCTGCAGGGTACAAGTGCAGGTTTTTGCAGCCGGCGCTCAGCACGGTCAGAGGCCGAGCACGAGCGCGTTGCGAGGTGGCTGCGCGTATGCACGCCCGCAGCATACTTGCTCATATTCCCGATGTCCCGATGTGCTCGCTGAGACGCACGCGCGCGCGTGGGCGCGCAGCCTGTACAGTAGGCACACACGATGGTCTTCCTGAGGTCCTAGAGCGCCTCTGCGGGTCCCGTGGGCCATGGGGAGGGTCAGACATTTTCGGGGGGCACCTGCAGGCAGGCCGGTTTCTGTTTGGATGCGCCCGCTGAAGTGCACGTCAGACGCGCGGGCGCAGGCGCATCTCGACGCCGCCGGCCCCGAGCTGCCGTCGCCACGCCGTGGCGCCGTCGACGCCGGGGCGCCAGCGGCAGCCGTGCCGGGCGCGCGCTGCGGCGAGGCTCCCGGCGCCTACAGCTACGAGGCGCCAGGGGGCGAGGGCGAACGATGCGCTTGTGCTCTGGCTCAGATCAGTGACTAGTGGTCTCCACGGTGACCGCGACGGTGATGTGACGGATGGCGACGGCGAGGGCGATGGCGACGGCGGTAGCGCTGGCGAAGACGGTGACTGCGAGGGCGGCGACGGCGGCACTGGCAATCAGGGAGTTTGAAGTTGCAGACGACGGTAACGACGGCAACAGAGACTTCAATGACGGCAGCGACGACGTCGACAACGACCGCGACGGATCGGCCGCAACGACGGGAGGGACGGCCACAACGACCACGACGGCAACCACGACGGCGACGTTGACGGCGACGTCGACGGCGGGAACGGCGACGACGGCGGCGGCGGTGATGACGTCGACGGCGACCGACGACGAAGGCGAGTGCGATGGCGGCGGCTGAGGCGGCTTTCAACTTTCAGCGCGGCGGGCCCTCTGAAGAGCTAGAGCTGAGTTAAGCGCTGAGCTAAGTTAAGCGCTGTAAAGGGTTGTTTTGAGAGCTGGGCGAGCTGGCCTGGGGCGAGTTCTCCCCCGCCTCCCAGCCCATGCCCAGGAAGCATGGCGCGGCCGGCCTGGGCCAGAGCTGGGTACACATGTGGCCAGATGTCTTTCCAGCGCTCGGCCCTTTGTGGCCGTGTGGGCCAGGCTCCCGAGCGTGCATCCAGCGCGTAGCCTCCAGATGTCCCACATGCGACTCCAGCCATATGTGCTTCCAGCCACTTGGGTACTACTGTGTTGAGGCTCTGCTCGGCCAGAGGGGGCGCCCCTGGCCAGGAGTGAGTAGCCACGCGGTTTCCCGCTCGCGGCGCCTTTCTCTCGCACTCAGACGCTTCCAGACTCCCTTGGAAAACATCGGTACCTCCTGACCCCCCCTTGACACCTCGGCCAGGCCCAGGAGTCCACCAGAAACCTTACCAACGGCTATCGCGTGAAACCTTGCTGGTCCCCTGCAGTAGGCCCTCGCCAGCGTTCTCGCCGCCGCCGTGGCCGTCGCCACCGCCACCGACGTCGACAGCAGCGCCGACCGCGACGACGACGGCGGCATCAACGGGGACGGCGGCGGCGACGCGGAGGGCCACAAGCATCGAAAGAGAAACATCCTTCCCCTGTCTGGTTGGCGCCGCCGCGTCTTTTTGTTGGGCCCCGCGGGCTGGTCACCACTGCTTCTGGCCCCTCAGCCCGAGGCGCCCGCTCGAGAGTCGCCCTTCTGCCTGCTCGCGCCTTGCCGAGGGCGCCCCTGCGGCCACGCGTGCAGCCTCCCACTCCTCCTCAGCCCCCTCCTCATTCAAGAGACCGCTGGCTCCCGAGTGGAACTGGCTCCCCCGACCCAAGGGGGTTAGACGGTGGAGCTGGACAGGGGAGTAGCTTCGACATGAAGCGCTGCCGCCGCTGCTGCTGCTCTACGGCTCTGCACACAGGTAGGACTAACTCACGACAGGCGAAACTTATCTACGACAAGGCGAATCTTGGCCGGTCGTGTTGCAGAATCTGCTCAGCTTCTTGTGCACGCATTGCGAGGGTGCGGCTGTCTTGATGATTTGTTTCCACGTACTCTTGAATCTGCCGCCGATGAAGTCGCAGAGTGCAGGTGGGCATTCTTTCAGCGGGGCAGTGCGGAAATTGCCATCTGTTTTGTCGTAGTCCAGTGCCGTGGTGTGCCCGCCCCTGTGGTTGCAAGTATACTTGTTTTGTGTGCCCTCTAGTGCATGTCTGGCAGTAGGCGTGTATATGCACATCAGTGCACTGGGCTTCCTGCTACGCCCGCCGAACATGGATCGGTCGAAGACTATCGTGTAGACGTGAGGACATGTAAGCTTTGCCTTGGTCTCGATTAGCTTCCATGCGGAAGCGCATGTTGGTCGCCCTGTAGGCGTGGCGGGGTGTTTAATTGTAGTTGGGATACCCAGTAGAGTCCTTCACCATAAGCTCGCTGGTAACTCGGAGTAGGCCATTGCCTATGCGCACTTAGGCCCCTTCCCTTGCATTGTGCCCTTGTACCCCCATGGTTCGGTCGATACCGCGTAGTTGTCTAGGTGCTTCGTCCTGCCGCCTCCTCCTCCTTCTGCTCCTCCTTCTGCTCCTCCTCCTCCTTCTCCAGATGTGATCCTGCTCTTCCCCCGGCGACATCCAGCTCGGCAATCGGAGCCGCTCCAACCTCCAACTTCCCTTCTCACAATGAGTGAGGGGAGGGTGAGCTCCTCCTGCTCCTCCTCTCTTCGCAGCTGCTGCTCCTGCCTCTGCTACTCCTCCCTCCTCCTCTCTTCTGCTCCTCTTCCTCCTCCTCCTTCTCCTCATCCTCCTCCTCATCCTTCTCCTCCTCCTCCTCCTCTCAGCTGAGAGGCATTTGGGCACCAGACGCTTCCTTCATCGCTCGGGACCTCCTCCTCCTCCTCCTCCTCCTTATTTCTCCTCCTTCTCCTGCTTTCTTATCCTTCCCCCTCCTCCTTCTCCTCCTTCTCCTCATCCCTGCTTTTCCTCATTGTCCTCCTTCTCCTCCTCTTCCTCTTCCTCCTTCTCCTCATCCTCCTCCTCATCCTTCTCCTCCTCCTCCTCTCAGCTGAGAGGCATTTGGGCACCAGACGCTTCATCGCTCGGGACCTCCTCCTCCTCCTCCTCCTCCTCCTCCTTATTTCTCCTCCTTCTCCTGCTTTTTATCCTTTCCCCTCCTCCTTCTCCTCCTTCTCCTCATCCCTGCTTTTCCTCATTGTCCTCCTTCTCCTCCTTTTCCTCTCCTCCTCCTCCTCCTCCTCCTCTTCTCTCCTCCTCTTTCTCTCCTCCTCCTCCTTCCTCTCCTCCTCCTCCTCCTCCTCCTCCTCCTCCTCCTCCTCCTCCCCTCTCCTTCTGCTCATGCTTCTCCCTCTCCAGCTGGTGCCGTTCCCCCCCTCCTCCTCACTATAGCCTCTTCTCCTCCGCCTGCTCGCGCTCTGCCTCCCGCTGCTGCTGCCGCCCCTCCTGCCGCTCCTCCCCTCTCCGCCCCTCCGCAGCCGCTTGCAGCCTGGGCCGCCCCGGCTGCCCGCCATGCGGCGGCCCCAGGCGCCAGCGGCCCTGCCGCATGCGCTCACCAGCGCCTGCGGCCCCCTCCGCCGCCGCCCCGGCGCCGCCCGCCCCGTGCGCTGAGCCTGCCCCGTCGGCCTCGGCGGCGGCGGCGGCTGGCAGGGGCGCTCCGGCGGCCGCGGCCCCCGCCGCCGCCCCAGCGCCTGCCGCGCCCTGCGCCGCCGGACCCGCCGTGGCCTTGGCGGCGGAGGCGCCGCCGACGGCGCCCGCGCCGCCCGTGCCCGAAGCCGAGGCCGCCATCGGCGGCGGGCGGGCGGGCCGGCGGCCGCTGAGCGACGGGGGGGTGCTGTGGGCCTTCGACGAGTTCCTGTACCACGGGGAGGTGCGGGACTTTGTGCGGGCCAGGCGGACCTACGAGCTCGTCTCGGAGTCGCTGGGCGCCTCGGAGCCGGACGTGCTGATTCCGTCCTGCCTCGAGATCCTGGAGGCCTCCCACAAGGGTCCGCGCAGGGACGTCACCCTCATGTGCCTCATGCACATGGCGCTCGGCTGCTCCCTGTGCGACGGTCCCGCCGAGGAGCTCGTCGCGGCCATGAGGAGCCACCACGCCATGATGGAAAGGCACGGCGCCATGCCGACGCTGGTGCGCTGCCTCGGGTGGCTCTTGGACGCTGCCGCCCGTGGCAAGCCCCTGGCCGAGGACGGCGTGCTGGAGAGGGAATTCCGCTGCGTCCTCAACTGCATCTACTTGCACCTCCTGCTGGGTGAGCGCGGCGACGACACCGCCCAGCCAATGGAGCAGGGGCAGCACGGCCAGGTCGGCTTACCCATGGTCCTGCTGCTGCTTGAGGCCTCCAAGACTTGCGCCGACAGCGACAAAATCCCCATCAAGAAGATCATCCTGCTGCTGCTCCGCGCGCTCCAGTGCACGTTCGGGGCGCCAGACCGCGCCAGTGCGTCGGTTTGCCTGGCTGCCCGAAGCGCGGAGGCGGGTGAGCCCCCTGAGGCTCATGATCGGGAGGAGTTGATCGCAGAGGCGCCCCCGAAGGGCCCAGCTCTGCGGGACTTCGGAAGCTTCGCCGCACTTCTCCGACACGGGCAGCGCATGCAGCGGAGGCACGGGATGACCGGCTGCCCAGCCGCCGTCGAGGAGGGGCTCGAGATCATCGCGCGGTACAGAGACGACTTCCTGAGAGCCTACAGCTTCCACCAGTGCGAGGCAGACTTCCTGCAGAGCACGCCCGCCCTCCGCGAGGCCTACGACCGCTACCGAGAGCTGCAGCTCCAGGGCGAGGCCCTGCCCCAGAGATCCGATGTCGTGATTTTTTCAATACTCGCTCCCCCAGAAGTCTCGACCCATTCCCCAGGACCGGTTTTTCATCCTGAGTCGTTTTGTGACGGTCCCGGGGCCCGGCGAGGGCCCCTAGAGGCCGAAAACGGCGAAAACCTTCCGTCTGGATTTTTTCGAGACGTTGGATCTCTGGGGGGCGAGGCCCTGCCCGAGGGGCCGCGGCCGCCGGCGCCCCCCGCCACGCCCACGGGCCGCTCCCGCCGGCCGCAGCGCGTGGAGCCCCCTCGCGGGCCCGCGCCAGGCGACGGCTCCAGCAGCTGCTCGGAGGCCTCGGAGGCCACGAGCGGCGCGGGGCCCGGCGCCTCCCGCCCGGGCAGCAGCTGGGCGTCGCGTGGTGGGGGGGGGCGATGCGGTTGGGGGGAGGGGGCCGCGAGCCCAGAGATCCAACGCATGGACAAACTCAAGACGGACGTGTTTTTTTCAATTTTCGGCCTCTAGGGGCCCTCGCCGGGCCCCGGGACCGTCAAAAAACGCCTCAGGATGAAAAACCGGTCCTGGGGAATGGGTCGAGACTTCTGGGGGACCCCGCATGGAAAAAATCACGACGTCGGAGGTCTGGGAGGGCTGCAGAAAAAAGGAGCCGTGCAGGGCCCCTAAACTCAGGGGGCAAGGCCCCCACATGGGCCCTTCAGGGCCCAGAAGTGAGCGCACCTTCCTCAACCTCCGCCCCTCATTCATCGTTCCCCCATTAAGCGACGCCCAACGGCAGCGGCACGCCCAGCGCCGGCGCGGAGGGCAGGAGCGACGCGGAGACCGTTGTGGAGCTCGAGGCGGCGGGCTCTGAGCCCTTGGAGGAGCGGGCTCCGGCGCCCCCGGCCGCGCTGCGCAGAGCGGGTGCGCCGGGCGTGCCGCGGGCGGGCGGGGTCAAGGATCGCTCCAAGGCGGCGGTGTTCCAGTCGGGTGTTGCTAGAAGTGCCCTTGCCCCAGGGAGCCCCCAGGATTTCCAAGGAGGCCCCCGCGGCCTCCAGAGCACCCCTCACGAGGCCCAAAGGGGGCCCAGGGGCTCCAAAGTGGGACGAAAAGCTGGGGGCACCTTGGGCCAGGGGCACCTTCACCAACCCCCGATCCAGAGCCTCTACCTCGCAGTGTATCCCCAGCTAACGGAGATTATAGTCGCGCTGCTCCGTCTCCTGCTCACGTCCTGCAACAATGTGGACAATTACCCCGGCGTGGTGGACATGGCGCGGGAGCGACACGCGACCGGCATCTACGACGACAGCTTTGACGAGCGTGTGTGCATGTTCCCGTACGAGAGGGCGCTGCCCACCGAGGCCATCGAGGTACAGAGGCACCGGGACATTATGGCCGCGGCCGTGAGTGGTGTCATGCTCGTCCTGCTGAAGAGCTCCCGTAGGTCCGACGCAGAGCAGCTCTCCACGCTCACGCAGACCATCACAGACTCGAATGGGGCGCTGGTGGTGCTTAAGTTCCTGAACCAGGACCTGTCTGTGTCCCCAGAGCCACGGGAGACGCCACCTGTGATGGCGTGCCTGAGGGGCTTGGACATGCCGCTCCGGGAGGAGCCGTCCTCATGGCAGGTGCGTGCGTCTCTGCGGTTGGTGGAGATCCTCTACTTACTCTGCAAGGAGTCCCCCCAGCGGGTGCGTCAGTACCTCATTCACTACAAGGCCCCTTACATACTGAAGAGGCTGCACCGCAACGACAACGCCCGCCTGCAGAGGCTGGTGCTCAAGCTGCTGAAGCTGCAGGTGAGGCACCTGCCCAGGAAGTGGAAGGTCGTGAACATGAAGTCCATCAGCGCGATGTACTGCTCGGTGCCGATGTCTCCCCTGGAAGACTGGCTGCTCCTGGACCCCGCCGGCGGCGAGCCCGCCGCGGAGGGCCCCTCGCAGAGCGAGGTGCACGCCGGCAACGCGGCCTACAACCAGTCGCTCCTCAGGCGTGCGCCCGCGCCTGGCCACGCGCCGCCCTCCCGGGGCGGCGACGGCAGGGGCCCCCAGGAGGCCGGCGTGGACGCCAACGCGGGCGCGTGGGCCTCCTCGCAAGCGCTGCCTGAGGCCGCTTCTCCCGCCGGGGCCCTGCCGGAGCCAGGCTCCGCCGGCGCCGGGGCCGCCGAGCTGGCGCGGTGGCTGCACACGGGCGGCCTGGCGGTGTGCGGCCTCGAGGGCCAGGCCTTCGAGTACGCCCGCGCGTTCCCGGAGCACGTGCCCTCAGCCGCGCGCCGCGGGGCGCCCGCCCCCCAAAATGGCCCCTCCCCCCTCCGCCTGCTCCTCCCCCGTCCGGTCCTGGGCCTCTCCTGCTCCAGCTCCCCCCGCCCGCCCTGCTCGCGCTTCCTCCTCGGGTGGCCATCGCCTGGGGCCGGGGCCGCAGCCGGGGTGTGCCTCCAGCTGCCCGCCGCCGCCGCCCCTCCCCCTTGGCGGAGCAGGCCCTGGCGGACGAGGACTGCCCCAGCGCCAAGCGCGCGCGCACTGGCGGCTGGCTGCCGAATCCCCTGCGGGGGCACCGCGGGGCGCTGGCCAAAGCGGGCGGCGGCAGGGAGAGGAGGGCGGAGGGGAGGAGGCGCCCCTCGGGGGACCTCTCGGGAACCTCTGTGTGGGGGCCTATCAGTTGGCCGTCGGGCGTCTTGGGCCCGTCGTGGGCGAGGCTCGGTTGGACAGTCGTGGTGTCGTCCAGTCGATTCCTGTGGCCGCCTTGAAGCCCTCTTGGGCCGTATTGGCGGATTCTCATCAGGTGTAACGTTAGGGGGGGAATAGGCTCAGGGGGGGACGCATCGACCCCCAAACGCCCATTCATCGCCAGTAATTTGGGGCCCGATGGCCGGCCAAGGAGCATACAGATCCGCCATGGGGGCTATCGTCGATTTGGCGGCGACGATGTATCGCTGATTCCAGGTCGACGCTTCCCCCCTGGGCTGGCTCCACCTGGTCGATCCCCAGGGGGCCCAGGATGAACGAAGCGGGCGGCGGCGGGGAGGGGAGAGCCGAGAGAGCAGGAGGAGGGACCATGTTGGAGGCGGGCGGAGGCAGGGAGGGCAGAGCGCGCTGGGGAAGAGGAGGGGCCGGGGCAGCCGACCATGACCAGGAGTCGGGGCTCAAGAGACGGGGGTGGGGGTCGATCCAAACGGGGGTCAGTCAGAGCACCCGATCTTGCAGGATCATGCAGAGCCAGGTGTGCATTGACCCGTGTTTGGTTGCAGGATCCTGCAGGATTTTGCAGGGTCTTGCAGGATCTCGCAAATCCCGACTGCCCTGTGTCTGGATTGACCTGGGTCAGTAGATGCGCAGGAGGAGCGGGGGCATGGGGCAATGGCTGCCCCTTGAGTCGAGACCCTCCCCCAGAGCTATCAGCCATGCCCTCCCTTCAGAAGGGGGAGCGCCAGGAGCAAGAAGGGGCCCTTCTTGCTCCGGCGCTCGCTGACGTCCAGAGCGACAGGCCCACTTGCGCAGTCTTCTCCGCTGCCTCTGCGGTGTAGGCCCTCGAAGGAGGAGGAGGAGGAGGAGGAGGAGGAGGAGGAGGAGGAGGAGGAGGAGGAGGAGGATGAGGAGGAGGAGGAGGAGGAGGAGGAGAAGGGAGGCGAGAGGAGGGGGGAGGAGGAGGAGGAGGAAGAGGAGGAGGAAGAATCAGGAGGAGG